ATGTAGCTTAATAAGAGAATCTTTAGCAGAAGCCATAGAAAGTTTTTACTTTTAGGCAACCTGTAAACCTGCAGAAAAAACACAAATTATACAGTCAGCTTCAAATATTAAAAAAGAGGAAGAAGACAAATTAAAACCCGGTAATGAATCACAACAGCAATGCGAAATTGATGAAAATACAGATAAACAGAGAGCAAAACCTTGAAGCTATGAAAAATAAGATTGCTCTACTCGAAAAAAATCTGAATGCTTTGTATTCTGCCAGAGATACTATGCCAAGCCGTGCTGAAGTTGATAAAGAGATCATTAAGTTGCGCGAGGAAATAAAAACAGCAAAACAGCCTTTAAACAGGAAGGTTCAAAACGCAGTTGCCCAGAAGAAACACAGACATAGTATGAAAAGAAAGTTAGAAGATATTTGTCATGTAAATCCAGAAATAAAAAAGACCTACTCTGAGGGATTCAGTGGGACGTCCTAATCTTGAAAGCAATCAACATTCATTATTCAAAACAATCGCGGATATAACTTTATTTGGGAGTGCAGCAGATGATAGAAGACGAACGGAATCAATTCGCAGCGTAAAAACTCTTGTTGAACTCACACAAGAATTACGATTTGACATTAGTCGCAGTGGGACATATCTTCGTTTGATTCCCAGAAAATCTAATTCTGCAGAGGGACGAAGACATGTATCGACAGTCGCTGTTAAGCTCATTCGGGCTCAAGCTGATCACCACAACAGCCACTTAGATAGCAAGTTCTCTGAAACATCAATCCATTATTTAGAGAACATAGGATCCATGCTTGGACCAGATCAAGTATTTTCCATATCTCAAGATGATAAAGCTCGAGTCCCTATTGGCGTAACTGCGGCAAATAAGCAAGCACCTCTTCTAATGCACATGGAATATAGAATCAAATTGTCTGCTCACGATTGGGTAATCGCTGAGCGTCATAAATTAATCTGTTTATGTTGGTATCAAAATCACTTCCAGTATGCTAGGACAACCGCAAGCCGTTGGATATTCTGGACCAACATACATCGCTATTCGAAGTGGAAAGCATAGTTCATCTACTGCTAATACTCATGCTCAGGATTTCGAGACGCTTCTCGAACTTGAAGAGTTTCTACCATTAGCTAAAACTGACCATGGACTAGTAAAACCAGTGGTAATCATGACGGTTGATGGAGGGCCAGATGAAAATCCACGTTATCAAAAAGTCATAGGGTTTGCTATACAACACTTTAAGCGACATGATCTCGATGCATTGTTTTTAGCTACCAATGCTCCTGGAAGAAGTGCGTATAACAGAGTAGAGCGCAGAATGGCTCCTCTTAGTCGGGAACTGGCTGGTTTAATATTGCCTCATGACCATTTTGGGTCTCATTTGGATGAACGTGGCGTTACAATTGATGAACATTTAGAAAGATCTAATTTCGAATTTGCAGGAAATGTATTAGCTGAAGTATGGAGTTCAATAGAAATTGATGGCTATAATGTAAATGCAAAATATGTTGGGGCCGGTGAACAAGATCTTCCAGGTTTTCCAGACATTAAATGGTATTCAGAACATGTGCGTGAGAGCCAATACTTGATTCAAATTGTAAAATGTATAAATACAGAATGTTGTCGTCCAAGAAGTGGCCTATTTAGATTACTAGACAATAGGTTTCTTTCACCACCTGTAAAAGTAAAACAAACAGTTGATGACTTGGTTTTGGATGAAGGAGGGCAATTTCTTAATCTTCCAGTCAATTTAGCTCTACGCTTAAGTGCTTCACGCAAAGATTTCCTGCAAATGCCCTACGATTATTTTTGTCCAACGGTAAAATTGAGGCTATCAAGTCGAACATGCAAAACGTGTGGTCTTTATCATGCTTCCTTAAGAGTCGCTGCTCGTCGTGTTAATGAACTGATATGCATTATTCAAAATTTAGAGCACCATGATGTTGAATGGCTCGATGAAAACGACGTAGACATTCCAAAATCCGATGAAAGCGAGCAAACTCACAACACTGAGCAGCAATCGAAGCAATCCAATGTCATCGAAAACTTAGAATCATGGATTCGGGTTTCATGGACTGGTCTGTTAATTTGAATTTAATACTCGTATATGTACCAAAAATTTAAAATAAGTTTGTTATGTTAGTAAGATATCATATTTTTGTCCTTTACTCTATGTTGAATACCGTATCAGTAAAATATAATCTCTATCCTAAATCTATTTTCTTATTTTTCAAATTATAATTATAACGTTATAATTATAATATTAAAAAAACAATACATTAATTGACAAATGTTTACGTAAGCATGGGGGGAGGTGATAAGAGCTTTGCTTACTTTTGCTGACAAGGGGGATGGGGGGGTAAATAATTGTAATAAATCTGCTTACGTAATACTTGAACGGTACCAAATGAAAAAGCTTTTTACTTTTCGAAAATCTAGTCTAGTGGTGGCTGAGCTAGGGGCAGAAACACGAAGAAAAAATTAAAATCACATAAACTTCATTTATGTACGCTTTACCGTTTTGCGATGCTTTTATAAAAGATGGCTTAACTACAAGTATATTTTTCCGAATTTTATGACCATCAAATGTTCCACTCATTTCGCCTAACCTTTAACATTTGTTACGCCATTTATGATGGTTCTCTGAATAGTTCGTCAAGTAGATTGACTCAGTACTTATGACGCATTGATATACAATAGATAAGTATTGACAAACCTACATAAGTGAGACACACGGACTTGTGCAGATATCTTTAAGCAACAGAACCATCGTTTAGGTAGTCGTAAATTTTGAAAATTGATTCAGAGACGGCGAAAATAAAATTACTGGAACATAGTGTCACAACGTTTCCTGCTCATTTTCAAACATTGTTTGGAGGAAATGAAAATTGTAGGTTGGAAGCTGTATGCGCTAAATGGTTGTAAATTGTTGCATATTTGGTGTCAGTGAAAGATATTCTATAATTAAGAAGTTGTAATCTCAGTGCACCTGTTAAACACACTAAGTCACACATATGTTCTCAACATGTGCCATGGAAACAGAAATATCGAAGACTTGCTATATAGTTTGATATGCAGATTTAGTTCATCCCTTTTGTTAGAAGGTATAAGAAGTACAGAGTCAATCTACTTGACTGCTCGAAATTAGTTTCCATTCTACCAAAGATTAATTAAATAAATATTAAATATTATTAAGACACCTGCATAAACTGATAACAACTGAAAACCATTGGGTTAAAAGAGTATACATATAATAAGTGACATATAAATCCGAACACCCAGTTTAAATGATTTTATTTTAATAAAAGTTGGTGAATGTATTTATCTTACTGTAAATAACAAGTGACAAAATTTTCAGCCTTATCAGTTGGACATTGCGGTTTTTATACTGCTTTCTTTTAATTCACTAACGCTCTAAAAATGAATATTTCACCCGCAGTAAAGAATCAACGTTGGCGGATTTTGGTTCTTGACATCCTTTACAATCGGTTACGATGCCTAGAGTACGGAGACCTGTACGATTTCGTCAACTTAGTGAGTTTGATAGGGGCCGTATAGTGGGACTTCGGGAAGCTGGACTTTCTTTTCGGGCAATTGCAATTAGAGTGCAAAGAAGTGTAGACACTGTGGTTAGGTGTTGTCAGGCATGGCTTCGAGAAGGCCGTACGCAAAGAGCAAGGGGCACTGGACGCCGCCGTAGAACAACAGACCGTGGAGATCGTCGCCTAAGATTATTGGCCTTAAGGGACCGTTTCTCCACTACCATTCATTTGCAGAACACGGAAGACCTGCATGCGAAGTGTTTACCGACGAATGAGAAGTTTTGGCTTGTTTTCATACAGGCCATACTGGGTCCTCCCTTTAACTCGAGAACACCGACGTAATCGCCTTGAGTGGTGCAGACAACGGTCACTCTGGGATCAGGAATGGAACAGTATTGTCTTTAGTGACGAGTCTCGATTTTGTTTAGGCATGCACAATGGTCGTGCCAGGGTTAGAAGGCGACGTGGTGAAAGGAGGAATCCACAGTTTTTTGTTGAAAGACATGTTCATCACACTGTTGGAGTTATGGTTTGGGGTGCTATAGCTTATGGTTCCAGGTCACCTTTAATCTTCATCAGAGGTAACATGAACGCGCAGCGTTATATCCACGAAGTTCTAGAACCCCATCTTTTACCCTATCTTGACACCCTGGCAGATCCAACTTTCCAACAAGATAATGCCCGACCTTGCAAGAGTCACAATAGACTTCTTTCAACATAATGATGTCACATTGTTACCATGGCCACCAAGATCTCCCGACTTATCCCCAATTGAGCACGTGTGGGATATGATGTGTAGGAGATTGCTCAATTTGCAACGTCCTCCTCAGACTCTAGAAGCACTTCGAGAGGAGTTGGTGGTTGCCTGGAATGAGATACCACAGGAGGACATTGACCACCTGATCAGAAGCATGCCTAGGCGCGTTGTGCATCCACACATTATTAAAGGTCAAAGGGCTTTAAAGCAGTGCAATCATTTTGAAATTTTTATCGTTTACTTATTATGCTTCATTAAGTACTTATACAAAATTTTATTAAAATAAAACCATTTAAACTGGGTGTTCGGATTTATATGTCACTTAGTATATAATGAGCGACATGAGCGATGAAAAGATAAAATCCGTCCACTGGTTGCGAAGATATATTGAAATGCAGATTTATGAGTTGACGGCTATTCTACATATATGGACCAAAGGACCACGATTTTGAGCGCGTGACAGCTGTATTTATAATTTCCCAGATGTGCTTAATAGTGCTGCGCATAAGATTTGTTTATTGAATTGTTTTTTTTTCTCTCCAGTTTAAATTATATGTTCATCTTATGTCTCTTTCTGTCGCGTAGGATTTGTACAAAGGCTGGCTTTCTACTAGTGACTACCTATACTCCTTTATGCTAAGTTTTAGGTGAAGGTAGTAACTGCCTTTGCCCTTGGCTAGACCTCGCCATTTTTAGGTGTACAATATCCTGTATTTATTACAATACAGTCGATTGAATTGAACATTGAAATATCTAGTTTTGGAAAGTGGGACCCACTTAGAGATCAACATAGACTCCTTTGTACGTAATTCGTTTACACCCTTGCCTCTTTGTCTCATACTAGTGTTTTGTTTTCGTAGTTAGGCAATCAATTATCTTTTTTATTTCAGATAATTATCAAATGAGGAGTTTCCTATCAGATTACTATGTTCATCCAAACACAGGTATGTACAAGCAACTACATCTTTGTTCTTTTATCTCTTCTCTTTTTGTATAAACCGCTTTGAATATGAAAATCTAATACCACTGTTGTTGTCGGGGGTATGACAAACAAAAATATGGCATCAAGCAGGGTTGCCGTCCGTCCGGCTTTTTTGGTCCAGCCTGGCTAAATATCTGTATGTCCAGCTTGTCCGGCTTTTGGTAGCCCTTTTATTGAAGAGGAAAATGTTATTTGAGTTTGTTTAATTTTTCAGAAAGAGAGCTATGACTTTTTTGTTATATATAAATGAAGTCTATATAAAGTTGAAAAAAATTCGGTTTGTTATTACTTTTGTTGTCGTAAATACTGCAAATATCAAGATATTATTGGGATAATGATGGTTAGTGATTACCGATTGTTTTTAATTATTGCTGCTCAACTTTGTAATAAAGCTAAAATTAATAAAGCCTTAAAATATTTAACATATTTTTTCTCGTTGTATACTAAGTGACATATACATCCTAACACCCAGTTTAAATGGTTTTATTTTAATAAAAGTTGGTGAATGTATTTATCTTACTGTAAATAACAAGTGAAAACATTTTCAGCCTTATCAGTTGGACATTCCGGTTTTAATACTGCTTTTTTTTAATTCACTAACGCTCTAAAAATGAATATTTCAGCCGCAGTAAAGAATCAACGTTGGCGGATTTTGGTTCTTGACATCCTTTACGATCGGTTACGATGCCTAGAGTACGGAGACCTGTACAATTTCGTCAACTTAGTGAGTTTGATAGGGGCCGTATAGTGGGACTTCGGGAAGCTGGACTTTCTTTACGGGCAATTGCAGTTAGAGTGCAAAGAAGTGTAGACACTGTGGTTAGGTGTTGTCAGGCATGGCTTCGAGAAGGCCGTACGAAAAGAGCAAGGGGCACTGGACGCCGCCGTAGAACAACCGACCGTGAAGATCGCCGCCTAAGATTATTGGCCTTAAGGGACCGTTTCTCCACTACCAGGTCCATTGCAAATGAATGGTTTGCAGAACACGGAAGACCTAACTAGAGAACACCGACGTAATCGCCTTGAGTGGTGCAGACAACGGTCACTCTGTGATCAGGAATGGAACAGTATTGTCTTTAGTGACGAGTCTCGATTTTGTTTAGGCATGCACGATGGTCGTGCCAGGGTTAGAAGGCAACGTGGTGAAAGGAGGAATCTACAGTTTTTTGTTGAAAGACATGTTCATCACACTGTTGGAGTTATGGTTTGGGGTGCTATAGCATATGGTTCCAGGTCATCTTTAATCTTCATCAAAGGTAACATGAACGCGCAGCGTTATATCCACGAAGTTCTAGAACCCCATCTTTTACCCTATCTTGACACCCTGGCAGATCCAACTTTCCAACAAGATAATGCCCGACCACATGTTGCAAGAGTCACAATAGACTTCTTTCAACATAATGATGTCACATTGTTACCATGGCCACCAAGATCTCCCGACTTATCCCCAATTGAGCACGTGTGGGATATGATGGGTAGGAGATTGCTCAATTTGCAACGTCCTCCTCAGACTCTAGAAGCGCTTCGAGAGGAGTTGGTGGTTGCCTGGAATGAGATACCACAGGAGGACATTGACCACCTGATCAGAAGCATGCCTAGGCGCGTTGGAGAATGCGTAGCACATCAGGGTGCATCCACACATTATTAAAGGTCAAAGGGCTTTAAAGCAGTGCAATCATTTTGAAATTTTTATCATTTACTTATTATGCTTCATTAAGTACTTATACAAAATTTTATTAAAATAAAACCATTTAAACTGGGTGTTCGGATTTATATGTCACTTAGTATATTTATGTCAATGTTCGTTCGGCTTTATAAAAGTTAAATTTATTTGCCTATCGAAGGCGATAACGTCCGGCTTTGGGGGCCAAGTGTGATTCTGATGGCAACCCTAACCGCATACGCTCTTCAATCTTCAATCGGAGCAACCCTCCCCCCTTCCGCCGAGACGTATATTTTCCTGTGTCCCCACACCCTGACACAAATTGACCTTGTACTTCTCACGAATTCTGTGATCAGTTAAATTGTTTGGTTGGTTTCCAAAGCTAACCTCATTTAAGGATGTAAACAAGGTCGGACTTAGGAATCTGTCTAGAGGGAGGGCAGCGTGATAGCCGCATTCATGTTTGGGATGATGTTCGTGTCGGGGGGGGGGGGGGGTAGCGGAGAATGAAATAAAAACGAGCGGTGCGGGTGGCATATGCTTCTTAGAAGCCTGAGCAGAGCTTCTGTTAACAAATGACCTTGTATCAAGTGAAAAGCGGGAGGTGAATACATCTAGGGAAGAGGGGCGCACGTCTGACAATTCATAGTATACTGCGAGGAAGACACACCTCTGTATTTCAGGCTGAAATGTACGAATCTTGCACGGCGCAAGAGTAAATAATGAGCGAGAGTATAACAATAAATGGATCGCCATATACACTGTTAGTCAAGCGTCACCCGTAGCGTTAAAAAGTCCTACCGTTGCGTTTGCACTTTTCTGGGAAACAAGAACCGAACTTAGGGGTTTGTTAGAAAACATCGATGCTGGGACATTCACAAACATCGCCATCGTAACATCGATGGAGCTTGATACCTCGGAACAAATACATCGTTGTATCGAAACAACACTTCTTTTTAACGTATTCTGCTTTCAATTCAGCAACAAATTCATGGATTGCTATCGGTTTCAGCGGAATGGTCATTTTATCCGTTGGTGTAAATGATTATAGGAGACTGCAAGATATCAGATTGTCAAAATTAAGAACACATTGATGATCATTAAATACTTTACACTGTGCACAAGTTGAAGAGTGTTTTTAAAGTACAGGGTGGTCCATAAGTCCTTTGAAATTTCAAATTTGAATAAAATTTAACGGGTGAGCGTGAGCGGCGCGGGCGAGGTGGGGGCAGTATCTTCAGTGTCTGGGAATTCAGTCGCCATGGAGTGTTTCACTGGAGCGGATTGTGCTTTTTGTGTGCGCGCGTTTTATCAAAATAATGATTCGGCAACCATTGCGCGGCGTAAATATCGAGAATACCACAATTTACACAATTTTACAAAGTGTCCAACAGCTCAAACGATTAAGAACTGGGTTGCTAAGTTCGAAGAGACTGGTTCGACGTTAGATAAACAGCGGTGGGGTCGACCAAGGACAACTCGTATTGAAGAAAACATCAACATTGTGGCACAGTCTGTTCGTCAAAATCCTACCCAGTCTACTCATCAGCGTTCCAGTGCACTAAACGTACCCAGAACATCTTTACAGCGGATTTTAAGGAAAGATTTACGTCTGCACGCTTACAAAATTCAGTTAGTGCAGGAATTAAAAGATAATGATGCTATTCAGAGACTAAACTTTGCGAATGAAATGTTGAATCGATTTTCTTCGCTCAATAATGTGTTGTTCTCGGACGAGGCTCACTTCCATTTAAACGGGCATGTAAATAAACAAAATTGCCGTTATTGGAGCCCCGAAAATCCAAGGCGTAAGCATCAGAAGCCCTTACACAGCCCTAAAGTTACAGTTTGGGCTGCTATGTCAGCGCATGGCATCGTAGGCCCTTATTTTTTTGAGGACGACAGAGGTCGCGCATTAACTGTTACTTCGGAGCGGTATGTAGCAATGATAGAAGAGTTTTTGACACCAGCGTTGCAGAATTTTCCAAGCTATAATACGCAGACCTGGTTTCAACAGGACGGAGTAACTGCCCACACCTCCAACACTTCTATGCCCGTCGTCTGTCAACTTTTTCCCAGCAAAGTAATTTCTCGAAGAGGAGACATTTCCTGGCCACCACGTAGTCCAGATTTGGCCCCAATGGACTTCTTTTTATGGGGCAACCTCAAGAGTAAAGTGTACGACACCACTCCGCGATCAGTTGATGTCCTGAAAGAAAATATCCGAAGAGAAATGGCAAGCATTACAGTGTTGACTTGCCGCGCAGTCATCGACAATTTTAGACGTCGTTTATATGAGTGCCGTGTTCGTAATGGATTGCATTTAGACGATGTGATTTTTAAAACATAATTCCCATTCAATAAAGATGATAACAAAATATAATAATTCTTCATAATGTAACTAGTTTGGTTTTATTCCTTTTTTTCCAGCTCAAAGGACTTATGGGCCACCCTGTACTTCCACACATCACTTTTTTGTGGCATTTCGATTGATTAACAATAAAACAGCGACACTACAACTACATACAATAAAATAATCAAAAGAACCTGAAATCATTAACTGCGTAAATGCGCTGTTTTCAGTTTATTTTATTATATCCCTTGGGGAAGTACAGAATAAAGAAAAGACTACAGTCGATGTCACGGCTGTAATGATAATATTATAGAGATACTACTAAACAGCTTTCTGGGCTTTCAATTTAGAAGCTACCAGTCCTCGCTTAGAGATGGTAGCACAGTTAAGGATATACTCGGGGTATACCGATGTTTATGATCCTTTCGATGTCGATATATAATCATAAAACCATCGATGTTCTACATCCGATGTATCGATGTTTTCGATACATCGATGTATCGCTGCCATCCCTAAACCGAATACACTGGCGGAACACAACAAAGCAAGTTTGATATGGATGTTCAGGTAGCGCAGAAATTGAAAGGGCGGGTGACCTCGCAAGGAAAGGGTCAACCACACCCCATACAGACCCAGAACCTGCCTTGGGGCTGTCAAAAAGCACAATCAAGAACCAAGTCAAAGAATGGGTAAGAAACCAGCACAAGTGGCACTAAGTGACTGGATGCAGTAGAAACCAACTCCGTATAGTTACAATGGCCTGAAAGAACAAAAGGAACAAAATCAGACCTACATGTCTCATGTGAGTGTGAGGAGGTAGATTACAAAAGACATCAGGTCT